TTGTGTTTCTACCAAACAGTTCTATTTTGGTTTCATCTCACCATATGACATTCTCCCAATCCTCTTCTGGATCATCCAAATGCTCTCTAGCAAACTTCAGACGGGCCCGGACATGTACTGGCTTAAGCAGGGGGACACGTCACTGCAGGATCTGAGTCCCTGGCGGCGTAGTGTGTTACTGATGGTAGCCTTTGTTACGTTGGTCCCAGCTCTCTGCAGGTCATTCACTAGGTCCCCCCGTGTGGTCCTGGGATTTTTGCTCACCGTTCTTGTGATCATTTTGACCCCACGGGGTGAGATCTTGCGTGGAGCCCCAGATCGAGGGAGATTATCAATGGTCTTGTATGTCTTCCATTTTCTAATTATTGCTCCCACAGTTGATTTGTTCACACCAAGCTGCTTGCCTATTGCAGATTCAGTCTTCCCAGCCTGGTGCAGGTCTACAATTTTGTTTCTGGTGTCCTTCGACAGCTCGTCGGTCTTCACCATAGTGGAGTTTGGAGTGTGACTGTTTGAGGTTGTGGACAGGTGTCTTTTATAATGGTAACAAGTTCAAACAGGTGCCATTGATACAGGTAATGAGTACAGGACAGAGGAGCCTCTTAAAGAAGAAGGTACAGGTCTGTGAGAGCCAGAAATCTTTCTTGTTTGTAGGTGACCAAATACTTATTTTCCACCATAATTTGCAAATAAATTCTTTCAAATCAGCCAATGTGATTGTCTGGATTTTTTTTCTCATTTTGTCTCTCATAGTTGAGGTCTACCTATGATGCCAATTACAGGCCTCTCTCATCTTTTTAAGTGGGAGAACTTGCACAATTGGTGGCTGACTAAATACTTTTTTGCCCCACTGTGTGTGTGTGTGTATATATATATATATATATATATATATATATATATATATATATATATATATATACACACACACACACACACACATATACGTACATACATATACATACACACACATACCAGACTGTAGACCAACGTTCACACAGACTAAATAACAGACTGATAAGGGTTATTTTTACCAGAGAAATGTGGCATAAACACATTTTGGCCTAAATATATGAAGAAAGATTATTTAGTTGCAACACATTACAAAAGAAACTAAGAAAAACAGTTTTTTTAATGTCAGTATAAAAAAAAAAAAAAAAAGTGGCAAATACCACTCTCTCGCAAACAAATAACTCCATTTGGGTACAGTGATGCATGACAAAGTAATTGTCATTCAAAGTGTGACGGTGCTGAAAGCTGAAAATTGGGCAAGTGGGTGAAAGTGTCCAGTATTGAAATGGTTAAATAAGAGAAGATCATTTATTACTGTAAATTAGACAAAGATCACAGTCCAGGAATCATCAACCAACATCCATAAGGATTCACAATCTTTTTGCTACAATGGGATTCTTATTAATTGAGCTCTTCTGGTCCTTAGGGATATTGATTTTCTAGAACCTCCAACACTGGACATTTTAGTAGAATTTTTCTAGGCAGCTGGAAGATTTAATAGAATTACTTGAAAGGAAAATAGGCAAGTGACCTACTATCATTCAGACCAATCAATATGGGTTCATAGGAAGTTCAGAGGTTACAGAGAAACAAAAAACACAACATCCTGATATACACGCGCGCGCGCGCACACACACACACACACACACACACACATACTCCTGGTACTTAAAGTTAATAGATGGATAATACGGAGTAATCAAACATTGTATGTCAAAACTAAACCACGCAAAGGAAAAAAAGAAAAAGGACAGTTTATACTTCAGGGTTAGGGACTGATGTGAATGTACAATATATGTGTAAAGCACTGCATAAATTGACAGCGCTATTTAACCATTTCCATATCGGACACTTTTACCCCCTTCCCTCCCAGGCCATTTTTTCAGGTTTCAGCGCTCTCACACTTTGAATGACAATTGCGCGGTCATACAACATTGTACCCAGACTAAAATTTTATCAATTTCTTCACACAACTAGAGCTTTCTTTTGGTGGTATTTAATCACCGCCTGGGTTTTTATTTTTTGCTAAATTAACAAAAAAAAGACTGAAAATTTTGAAAAAAAAACACACGATTTTCTTTGTTTCTGTTATAAAAGTTTGCAAATAAATAATTGTTCTTCATAAATTTAGGCCAAGATGTATTCTACTACATGTCTTTGGTGAAAATAACCCAAATTAGGATGTATTATTTAGTTTGTAGGAAAGTTATAGAGTTCATAAACTATGGTATAGATCTGAATATTGATCAATCCTGAAGTACTGACAGCCAATCTAATTTCTTGAGGTCCAAGAATGTCAGAATAGTACAGATATCCCCCAAATGACCCCTTTTTGCAGAGTAGACAGTCCGACGTACTTCATAAGAGGCATGGCTAGTTTTTTGAAGTTGTATTTTTTTTGTCATAATTTTTCAGAAAATGAAAAAATTAAAAAAATTATTTTCACTACTTTTTTTTTTTTTTACATACTGTCACCAGTGAAGTACAGCGTCATCATATAACTGGCATGGCGGTGATCAGGGACACTGACTGGTGACAGTATGAAAAAAAAAATATATATATATATTTCTTTTATTATTTTTATTACATTTTTTTTTTTTAAGGTTTTTTTCATATTTCACAGTAGTACAATGTTACCATAGTAACATTGTACTACTTGGGGAAGTGATCAGTATTTTTTTTTTTTTTTTTTTTTTACACAATTTGCTTATAGCAAAGAATTACTTTGCCATAAGCAAGCATTTACCTGAATGACATCGATTCATTCAGGCTTTTTTTTTTTTTTTTTTTGTACTTAGCTGTGATTTGGCCACAGCTAATCACATGACATGTGCATGTGATCGCTGTGACCATTCACAGCTAGACACTAGTATACAATGGATGGCATGAATGAAGCCATCCACTGTATACAACTGTCATGTGACCTGCTATGATTGGTCCCAGCAGGTCACATGGTACCGGCAACGGGGACGGTACTCAGATCTATCATCGGCAGTGTCCGAGGTACACGGCCGGTGACAGATCGCGCCGCTGCACGGCTCTGCAAGCGCGAAAACTGCACATGCCCGGGAGTACGCCATATGGTGTCCACCCGGAAATCTACAGCATTTTGCCGGGCGGCTATTGGATAAGTTCCTAAAATAAATAAATACCACAGGTCAACCTGATGCTCAGGTTATATTAAGGCTTCTTACATGCAGCCAGCGAATTCCAGCGACAAGGATCAGCAGATTCTTGGGGCTGGAATGACTGGGGCATGTGAATAGCTGTGGCTGCTCAGCCTATTTAAACTAATGGCAGCAATGGCCACAGTTTACATGTAGCCACACACAGAGTGGTAATCTGCTGTTAGGGACAGATGTCTAAGCCTAGATGTGACTGACTGCGTCCAGGCTCAGGTGTCCATTCACCCAGTGGTGTATTTAGGTTTTGTGCTGCCCTAGGCAACACAAAAATGCCCCCCCCCCCCCCCCCGCAGAAAGAGCCTGACATTGACCAACAACACCCCTGTCCCCCAAGAGGGTCTTCCACTACAACTGCCCCCCATACACCAGCCACCATGGCGAGACAGAGAAAGACACTCGCCTTCACAGCTCCGGATATCCCTGGGAACAAAAGTGGAGCTGTGCATACATCATCATGAAACCAGCAGCCTCTCTCGGAACCCTCCAGGTTCCCATGCTGCGTGTGTCCCTTCTTCTGAGGGGCAGTGCTGCCCCCCCCCCCCCCCCCCCCCCCCGAGAAACGCTGCCCTAGGCAAATGCCTTGTTTGCCTTGTGGTAAATACACCCCTTCACCCACCCACTGCCCTTGACCCACAGAGAAGGCTACAGATAATGGAGCCATGTATTAGAACACACTTGATGCAACAAGTTACTTTATGGACATTAAACTGCCTTACGTTAAAGCATTTGTGAACACACAACTACTAAAAGACATTCTAACAAAGCATACATTACTTCTTTAAAAAGAAACTTTTAGTTCCTTTATCCAGAAGTAGTATTCTGTAGTCATGTGAACGCATAGTAGGCAGGTGAGTGGGCACGTTGTTATGTCATACACAATGTGGAAGAATGCTCCCTGTCTGTGTTCTGCAGTTTTGATAGTGAGGCTCCTGCTGGGAGCCACTGTCAATCATCAAAGGGGTGTGACAACTAAAATGAGACACAGGCACATCATCCTGAAACAGAAATTCAAGAGACATCAGAAGAGAAGGGCTGGGTGGGGGGCACCCAAACTGACTACAGGAGATACAGGCTTGTCACACATTGGTACAGTGTCCTGTATCTCCTAGGAGCAATTCCAAGGATGCAAACTGACCACACCAGCATGATCTGCTTTCTTGCTTGGTGTGGTTAGTTGGATAAAATAAGCAAGGGGAACTCTAAAGATCACAATCATAACAGAAACGTACAGGCCAGAAGTCAGCCAAAACAGGTTTTTTGTTTTCACTTTGGATACAGTAGGCCGTAATGGAATCTATCAAGTTTCCACTGCTGTAGCTAGTTTTTAAAAAACAGCATTTTTTTTTCTTTTTTTTTTTTATAGAGAGAGTAGAGAAAAACTAGAACCCTTGCAAGATACTTATTGCAAATTGTGTGCCTGTTGCAAATTTTCCCCAATGTCATGTCTGGTGACACCATTTTCACAATAATAGTAGGGGAGGGGAAAACGTAGCCCTGGATAGCAGTACAACTGGGCTACAACTACAGGATTTTAAATCCTTCCCCCCCCACTCTGCGAAAAGCTAAAAAGATATACCATATTTTCCAACGTATAAGATGACCCCCTACTTTTCCTGTTAAAATGTAGTGTTTGGGCTATACTCGCCGTATAAGACTACCCCTCTTCCAATGCACACCAGTGGGAAGAATCGTGCCCCATCATTGGTGTCAGTGTGAGGAATAGCACCCAATCATTGGTGTCAGTGGGAGGAATAGCGCCCCATCATTGGTGTCAGTGGGAGGAATAGCGCCCCATCATTGGTGTCAGTGGGAGGAATAGCACCCCATCATTGGTGTCAGTGGGAGGAATCGTGCCCCATCATTGGTGTCAGTGGGAGGAATCGTGCCCCCCCATCATTGGTGTCAGTGGGAGGAGGATCTAGTGTCCCCAACATTGGTATCAGTGGAAGGAATAGTGTCCCAACATTGGGGTCAGTGGGGGGTGGAATAGTGCCCCATCATTGGTGTCAGTGGGGGGTGGAATAGTGCCCCATCATTGGTGTCAGTGGGGGGTGGAATAGTGCCCCATCATTGGTGTCAGTGGGGGGGGGGGGGGGGGGGGGGGGGTGGAATAGTGCCCCATTGTTGTTGTCAGTGGGGGGGGAGGAATAGTGCCCCATCGTTGGTGTCAGTGGGAGTAATAATGCCCCATCATTGGTAACAGTGACACCAATGATGGGGCACTATTCCTCCCACTGACACCAATTACACTTGCTGACCCCTGTTCTAGTATGGTGCTGCTGCAGCCAGCATATGTGGTTGCAGCAGCACCTCTGGACGGCACACTTACCGGCCGCTCCTTCACTCGATTTTCGCGGGCCCCTCGGCTCCGCCTCCTCACCGGTGATTGGCCGCCTGTGTGCCTTTCCTGAGCTACAGTTCTGGCGGCCAATCACCGGTGAGGAGGCGGAGCCGAGCAGCCACGTGAACATCCAGTGGCCGAACCGAATGAAGGAGCAGCCGCGCTTCCTGGACCGGATCGTCGTGGGACCGGAGGCAGGTAAGAGACAGCAGCCCCTGCCCACCCCTGTACTTAGTGTCCCTTCCGTTGGAAGGGGGGGCGCGGCGGCGGCACCGCGCCGCCCCCCTAAAAAGTGTCAGCATGCCGTATACCGGCGTATAAGACGACCCCCGACTTTAGAGAAGATTTTCAGGGGGTAAAAAGTATATATATACACACACACACACAATATTGCCCACCCTTTGCAACTATAACAGCTTCACCTCTTCTGGGAAGGCTGTCCACAAGGTTTAGGAGTGTGTCTATGGGAATGTTTGACCATTCTTCCAGAAGCACATTTGTGAGGTCAGGCACTGCTGTCAGACGAGAAGGCCTGGCTCACAGTCTCCACTCTAATTCATCCCAAAGGTGTTCTGTTGGGTTGAGGTCAGGACTTTGTGTAGGCCAGCCAAACTATTCCCACAAAGTTGGGAGCATGACATTGTCCAAACTTTCTTGGCATCCTGACTTCTTAAGAGTTCCCTTCACTGGACCTAAGGGGCCAAGCCCAACCCCTGAAAAACAACCCCACACCATAATCCCCCTTCCACCAAACTTTACATTTGGCACAATGAAGTGAAGCAAGTACAGTTCTCCTGGCAACCGCCAAACCCAGGCACATCCATTGGATTGCCAGACAGAGAAGCGTGATTCATCACTCCAGAGAACACGTCTCCACTGCTGTAGAGTCCAGTAGCAGCGTGCTTTACACCACTGCATCTGACACTTTGCATTGCACTTGGTGATGTAAGGCTTGGATGCAGCTGCTCGGTCATGGAAACCCATTCTATGAAGCTCTGTATGCACTGTTGTGCTAATCTGAAGGCAACAAGAAGTTTGGAGATCTTTAGTTATTGACTCTGCAAACATTTGACGACTTCTGCACACTGTGCACTTTAGCACGCACTTACCTTGCTGTCATTTTACATGGCCCACCACTTCGTGCCTGAGTTGCTGTTGTTCCCAGTTGCTTCCACTTTGTTATAATACCACTATCAGTTTACCGTAGAATATTTTAGTAGCAATGAAATCTCATGGATGGACTTATTGCACAGGTGGCAACTGTGACGGGAGTGACTTTTTGGGGGTGGGGGGACCTCTGTATCATCTCCCCAAATTCTTATGTTTAAGTGACCCTGTGCCTGTTAGGGTGCAGGGTGTGTAAATGTGAATGTCCCAGTCTTGTGTATAGTGTGTGTTCCTTTGTTCTCGGCCACATGGCTGTCCATTGTTTGTATGCCATGTGCTTCATCCCATTGTTCTGTGTCTTGGTTGGATGGGGAGGGGTGATGAGGTGTTTCCTGCAGCCTCCCACTGATGGGGCGGGCTGATGATGTGTTTCCTGTCCCTGGTTGTCTTTCCCCGCCCACTGTATAAAACATGTTGTTTGTGTACAATAAAGAGAGTTGGCTTCCTGTATTAAGAAGAGCTGGGTGTTGTCTATTTCCTGAGGGATTTCAAGTGTGTGTTCCGTGGATGGTGTTCGGACAGGGGAAGGTGCGGTATAACGGAATATATACCCAAGTGCGGTCGGGTACTGGTTCCGTTACATTGAGTTGCTGTTGTTCCCAGTTGCTTCCACTTTGTTATGATACCACTATCAGTTTACCGTAGAATATTTAGTAGCAATGAAATTTCATGGATGGACTTATTGCACAGGTGGCAACCTATCACATTACCACGCTTTAATTCACTGAGCTCCTGAGAGCGACCCATTCTTTCATAAACTGTTTGTAGAAGCAGTCTGCATGCCTAGGTGCTTGATTTTTTACACCTGTTGCCATGGAGGCGATTGGAATACCCAAATCCAATGATTTGGAGGGGTGTCCCAATACGTTTGGCAATATAGTGTACATTATATATACACACACACACATATATATATATATACACACATATATACACACACACACACACACACACACATACACACACCCTGTATATAATTCTGATTAAATTACTTTTATGGAAAACAGCAACAGTTCTCCTTTAAATACCATAGCATGTAAAAATTGGCACATCTCTTTCTAAAGCTAGCCATACACGGATTAAAATTTGGAAGGGTAAGGCTTCATGTACACTAAAGCTCCCTTGGATGCCAAGCTCTCCTGGCCGCTGAAAAATGCAAAATGTGTCAAAAGCACGTGTAACTGCGGTACCACATTTAGCACTTGGGCCTTTATTTATTTCACTGGCCAGAGTACTTGCCATTGAAATTAATAAATGCCCAAGCTCTAAGATCCGCTAGCACTTAGACATGTTTTTTGCCCAAACCATTCCTCTCCTGAAAGCAATTTTTCTGTGTTCAGGAGAGGGACATTTAACTGCCCCTAAATGCTGCTGTTGCTAAACTCTGGTAAAAGCCTATGTGTGCATGGACTCATAGGCTTTTATTGAGTTGAGTTTAGGGGCTTTGGCAAAAACAAAAAAAAGCCAAAAGCTCCTAAACATGCATCAGTGTACATGAGGCCTTAGCAGGGATTAGCTGAATTTAAGCGTGTGGCCATTCTCTCTTGACGGAAGTGGATTGTTTGTTCAAACTGGAAAATTGTCCATGATCAGCGACTGCAGCTTCTGCAACAATGTGTTCTGAAAGCAGCAGGTTTCAGCATACAATGACTCGGCAGAGGGGGATTCTTCCGTCCACCACATTTATATGAAGGGAGGAAATCTGTTTTTTTTTTTCCTTTTAGCCCGCTGTGTGTGTCCAGCTTTAATCATACGGAAAACAATCAGATCAAAAAGATATAATTACACAGAGTGTTTGTTTTAAACAGATGACTACAAGTATTAGCCAGCTGAAAAAAAAAAAAAAAAAAAAGAAGATTGCATAATCCACCTTTTGACATACAACTCAACAATAAAACACAAGCAGTAAAGTGGGCTGTAAATCGGCAAATGGTGCTGCAAGATAAAGCCAATTGTGTGAAATCAACTCACAGGCCTAAGCAAATCTCACCCAGAACAAAGCACCAGCTTTAAAAACCTAGGAGACAGTACCTCATTCACATGGGTGTAAAAAGTTAATGCTCAAAATATGCTGGATTTTTTTCCTGCCCAAACTTGGCAGAAAAAATTGCCTCTAAAACTGGCCACACATGGATTGAAATTCCATGTATGGGCAGGCTGATTGGATCGATTTGATCAAATATTTCACATGTGATTACTGCCGGCTATAGCCGCTAGCTGTAATCGTGTTCTGCTGGCCAGGAAGGCTCCCAGCACCCCCCCGACAGAACACAATAGCACGGTGGAAGGAAAAAAATAAATGGTCTGCCTAAAGCTGGCAGTACACGTGTAGATTTTTGGATGAGAATATTCGGATGAAAAGTCGTACGAAAATTCTTTGAACATTCGGTGAATGGACAAATGTCGTTTGAAAATGTTCTTTTGCTTTTAACATTCGAGTTTAAAACGAATGTAATTTCTGAACAATAACCACATATACTGGCCAAAAATTTGTTTGTTAGAGAAAAGTTTTCCTTCCTGCCACTTCGAATTTTCCTGTCACTGCGGTCGAAAACAAACATCGATTTGGACCCACTAACGAAAATTCTTGCCCGAAAATCCATACGTGTATGGCCAGCTTAAGGGTGTACGTTTATAAGCTTATGGCGTTGGAACATAGATTCAAATGGTCAGAATATTTATTCTGGTCATTGGAGTACATTTACGCGTGTGTTTATGCACATAAGGTATACTCAAAAGCTTCACTCAGAACTCACCTTTGGTGGACCAAAAACCATGTACTGCTGCCTGGACCCCAGTCAGCCCACACTGCTCTATTGTCCCCCACCCCACGTCCTTGGCTGGCACCTCTCTGGAGTCTCCCCCATCCCTTCCCGGGCACATGTGGAACACAGCTGAACAGCTCCAGGAAGGCCAGCCCCCTTGAAAGCAACGCAGCCCCCCCAGAGCCCATGGAGCGGAGGACGCAACCTCCCACACTGACCGCCCCATCCACACCACAGACCCCATCAATTCTGCCTTCAAATGCGGCACTAGTCCCTACCAGAGGATCGGAGTCACCAGGGCCACCAAGTCCCACCACCTGTGCAATAGCAGACAGCCCGACCTCCAGCACAGTGCCAACCCCCTTCAACCAACTACAACAACCAGGCGGACCAGGCTGCCCCCCACCTGTCCTGTTGTACACCACTTGTGACACTGCCCATCTGTCCCACTCCTGTGACACTGTCCCCCACCTATCCTGCTGCCCAATTTGTGTGTTGCTGCCCCCTCCTGTGATGCTGCTGCCCCCCCCCCCCCATCTATTCCACTGCCCCCTTCCTGTGATGCTGCCCCACTCCTGTGACGCTGCCCCTCGCCTGTCCCTCTGCCTCCTCCCATGACAATTCCCCCTCCTGTCCCGATTCCCCCCTCCTGTCTCGCTGGCCCCCATTGGTTTTGCTGCCCCCCTCCTTCCCCCACTGTCCCTTCTGTCCTGCTGCTCCCCTCCTGTGACACTGCCACCCCCCCCCCCCCCTCCCTCCCCTCCTGGCGCCTAACTTTTTTTAGCTGGCTCCTAGATTCAAAGCAAATTTGTCAAGCCCTGCTGTAATCACCTGGTGAGTATGGCCACATAGGCTAACATACAGCTGCATTTACAAATAAACGCTAAAC